GGCATGTAGCCCAGCGTCCGCATGCAGGCACCCAGCTCCCGGTAGCCTATGTAGCCGTCCCGGTCAGTGTCAAACTCCTGGAAGGCCACCTGCAGCTCTGCGGGGTGGCAGGGTGAGATCAGGCCGCAGCCGCTGGGCTCTGGGACGCCCCCCACCAGCCCCAGCAGCAGCAATCGGCCACTCACCATCCAGCTCCTCAGGGCCCAGCTCACGGTCCTGCAGAAGGACAGCCAGCATGTCCCCAGGCCAACCATGGCTCCGTCCCCACCCCATCCTTCCCCCTCAGCCACTGCCCAGCCCCTGTCCATGATGGTCTCAGAAAAGCTTGCCGGCAAGGCCAACTCACAAAGGCAAGAGGCAGCAGCTTGGATGCTGGTGGGGCCCAGGAGGACAGAGCCCCCCACTGCTGCCCCCACAGAGCCTTGCATTCTTGCTCAGCCCTGTCGCCCAGGCTGCCTGAGACCAACCCCTCCCCAAACTGCAGGAACCCTGCCCTGGGAGTCCAGGTTCCCCCAGTCTGGGCAGAAGGCCTGAAGACTGGGGGACAAAGGGCTGAGCTTAAGGTCACGGGTCCCACCCTCACTGGACCCCAGCCCACCCAGGCCCCACCTGACCTTCCCGAAGACCCGGTTGAGCAAGGGCCCGTACATCCTCTGGGCAGCTTCGTGCTGGGGGTCAGAACGGTGCCGGCGGGACTGGCGGCGAGGAGGAGCAGGCCTAGTGGCTGCAGGGGGCAACTCCTCCTGCCCCTCCCCAGGCCTAGGGGGCATCTTGCTGCTGCCCAGGCCCTCAGGGCCCAGGACGGGGGTCTGCTCCCCACGGCCGCCAGTGCCCTTCCGGGACCCTCGGTGCCCCCTCTCCTTCTTGCTCCTCCTCCTGGTCAAGTCTGGCCCCTCGGCACCACCCCCGGGAGCCACCACACCCGCAGGGGGCTCCTGGGGGCCGGGGGCTGGGCCGGAGCCTGGATAGCCCCTTGCCTGCTCTGTGGCCATGTGGGGAGGGCGACAGGGCCCCGAGATGTGGCACAAGGGGCACCCTTGGCTCTTGGGACCCACAAAGCCTCTTATGCCCTCCCCCCACCACCCACCATTTCTGAGAGCCAAAGGCCTGGGATCAGCCCTGAGGGGGATTAGGATAAGTGAAGCCGGCAGTCAAGGGCCTAATCCCAGGCTTCTGCCGGGCGTGGCCCAGGCAGAGCCACTGAGGTCCAGAGAACTGTTTGAAGTTAGCAGCGAGGAGGGGAGGCAGTCAGCCGTGAACTCCAGCTCTGCTCTGCCGCTTACTCGCTGGGACACTCAGCGAGCTAACCTCTCTAAGCCTCGGTTTCCTCATCTATAAAACGGGGAGAATATTGCTGAAGAGTCGGGGCCTGCTCCTTGGGAACTGGGCAGGGCTTCGCCAGGAGGGAGGACAGCGTCTCAGGCAGGAGGAAGCGTGTAGGCAGAGCTGGGCGGTGGGAAAGGACACAGCCATTTGCCTGCTGGGGCCCCTCATGGTGACACCCTGGCTGGAGCAGAAAACAGACCAAAAAAACCTAAACCAGTTGCTGTTGAGTTGATTCTGACTCATGGCGACCCCATGTGTTTCAGAGTAGAGCTGTGCTCCATAGGGTTTGAAAGGGCTATGCAGTAGGTCACCAGGTCTTTCTTCTGATGCACCTCTGGGTAGACAAACTGCAGACCTTTTGGTTAGAGGTTGAGCACTTCACCATTTGCGCCACCAGGAACTCGGCTGGAACAGAGGGTGCATGAGATTGAAGACAGGCCCGCTCACAGCGCCTGGAATGCAAGTTGAGGGGTATGGGGGTGAGGTCAGAGGAGGTGAGTAACTGGGGCTCTAGAGCTTGCCCTGGGCTGGAGGGGCCCAGGGTGAGGGGGTTCTCAGCAGCCCTGTTGGGGGTGGGTGGGCCTGGCTGGTCACTTGGCCCTACTGGGCCAGGGTTAGGGTTTCCCGCAGAGCAGCCCCATGAATGATTGATGTCCTGCCGGCTTGGGTTTCGTGCCTGCCCGCCTTAGAGCCGCTGGGTGCCACGTACCAGGCCCCGGTGTGGGGCCTTGTGGACAGTTGGACCGCTGGGCAGGCAGGCACGCCCTGCTTCTTCCGGCCATCGGCCTGCACCTCACAGGTAAGCCAGGCCTCGCCGCTCCAGGCCCGGGGCCCACGGTTCTAACCCAGCAGGGCCTGGAGCTTGCGGAGTGAGGTCAGTCTGAGGGAATGCCCTGAGGGAGCTGGGCTGAGGGCCAAGTGCGGGAGCCAGGGGCTACAGGGCCATTGGCTTCCTCCCCCAGAGGGTGGGTGGGAGCAGCTGGCCTCTTGGGTCCCAGGCCTGGTGCCCCCCTCCTTCACCCTCGTCTTACTGCTGAGTGACTGCTTCCTTCTCTGTTTAGTAGCCCCCCAGGAGGGGAGAGAGGGTTACAGGGAAGGGGGGGCTCACCCTGAGCCCAGGAGTTGTACTTGCTGTGGAGGAGGGGTCAGCTACTGCCCCAGACTCCCTGTCCATGCTCAGATGCCCATGGGCCCACGGGACCCCTGGCCTTCCGCCTGGAATTGCAAACCCTTGAACCCCAGGATACCAAAAACGGGGGGCTTTGCAATGAGCTAGCCACATGTCTTCAAACTGTTCCCTGAAACCCTTGGGGGGGACTCTCCCCTCCTTCAATCTGAACACTCCGTTTCAGTCCATATACGAGTCCTCACTTCAAGAATAGACTCAACAGCTTTAAAAATACATGTGAAAATCTCTGGGGGAGTCTAGCTGGGCACCCTGGCCTTCGTGGGGCAGACGGTTAGGTCTGGGTTTGCGGCTTGGCGTCTCCCTTCCTGCCCGTGACCTTGGGCAGGTCACTGACCCTCCTGGCTCTCCTGTCCTCACTCGGATTGTATGAGGCCTGTTTAAGTCCGTAGCACACACTAATTACTCAAAAGGTGATGAAGACAGCCCAGAGCAGGGCGGCCACCTGCCTGAAGACACCCAGTGACCTCTCTGTGATATCATTCGTTCATTCCCTAGGTGCCAGCTCTATGCTCAGTGATCCACTGGGGACCTCAGATGAACACTGATATGGGAGCCAGCCTGGGTGCCACCGGCCGTGGGCCCCGCACAGAGATCGAGGACGAGGACTACTACCCCCAGGGCGGCTGGGACACGGTCTTCCTGGTGGCCCTGCTGCTCCTGGGGCTCCCAGCCAATGGGCTGATGGCGTGGCTGGCTGGCTCGCAGGCCCGGCACGGAGCAGGCACACGGCTGGCGCTGCTCCTGCTCAGCCTGGCCCTCTCTGACTTCCTGTTCTTGGCCGTGGCGGTCTTCCAGATCCTGGAGATCCAGCAAGGAGGGCACTGGCCCCTGGGAACGGCTGCCTGCCGCTTCTACTACTTCCTGTGGGGCGTGTCCTACTCCTCTGGCCTCTTCCTCCTGGCGGCCCTCAGCCTGGACCGCTGCCTGCTGGCCCTGTGCCCACGCTGGTACCCAGGGTGCCGCCCGGCCCGCCTGCCCCTCTGGGTGTGCTCGGGGGTCTGGGTGCTGGCCACACTCTTCAGTGTGCCCTGGCTTGTCTTCCCCGAGGCTGCCGTGTGGTGGTACGACCTTGTCATCTGCCTGGACTTCTGGGACAGCGAGGAGCTGCCGTTGAGGATGCTGGAGATCCTGGGGGGCTTCCTGCCATTCCTTCTGCTGCTTGTCTGCCACGTGCTCACCCAGGCCGTCGCCTGCCAGCCGTGCTGCCACCAGCCCCGGCCCCCAGCCCGCCGTGGCTTTGCCCGCGTGGCCAAGACCATTCTGTCCGCCTACGTGGTCCTACGGCTGCCCTACCAGCTGGCGCAGCTGCTGTACCTGGCCTTCCTGTGGGACATCTACCCCGGCTACCTGCTCTGGGAGGCCCTGGTCTACTCTGACTACCTGATCCTGCTCAACAGCTGCCTCAGTCCCTTCCTCTGCCTCCTGGCCAGCGCCGACCTCCGCGCCCTGCTGCACGCCGTACTCTCCTCCTTCGCCACAGCGCTCTGTGAGGAGCAGCCCGGCGGCATCATACCGGCTGAGCCACAGACCCAGGTGGACTCTGAGGGCCAGACGCTGCCAGGGCCCATGGCTGAGGTCCTCCCACAGCTGAACACCACAGCCGAGCCACAGGCAAACGCCACGGCCCAGCCACGGTTGGATTCTGTGGCTGAGCCTCCCCTGAATCCCATGGCCCAGCCACAGGTGAACCCTGAGAACCAGCCACAGGCGAACCCTGAGGCCCAGACCCCTGGCCCCAATGCCAGCTCAGCCACCAGCCTTGCGGACGACCCCTCTCCTGCCCCATCCACCCCAGGGGCCCCTGAGACCCCAGCCATGTCTGCTGCCTCTGAGGGGGAAAGCCCTGGCAGTGCCCCCCCAGAGGAGGCCCCTGGCACTGGCCCCACATGAGGGTCCAGGACAGCCCAGCTCACCAAGGCAGCGAAGAGCCAAAGGGAGACAGAACAGCCAGTCATCGGAGACGGGGCCATGGAGGATGTCACCATGGAAACCCCACTGAATTCCTGGGCCAGGGAGGAGGATTTGGGGAACTGAAACAGAAGCGGCCAAAAGTCCCAGATAGTCTGGGGTGAGCGTCCCCTGTCCTGGACCCCCAAGCTCTTTTCTAGTTGCCCCCAACAAACCCCTTCGCCCAACACCCTCTCGAGCAACAGCTGATGGTGTCCTGCTGGGTTCTGCTCTCCAGCGCCCCAGACCCCACTGACGGTTTCCCCTTTAGCCGGGTCTTGCAGCAGGAAGACAGAGAGGAAGGACTTCCTCCGGGCTCAACCTGACCTCCCTTTCATACTTCAATCCCTCCCTCCCTTCCCTGCTATCTGTCCTCCAGCCTGAGCACAAGGAGGCCAAACGAGAAAGTCTCTGCGGAGAAGGGAGGCAGCCAGGAAACATGCTCAGCTCCAAACAGGAGCCTGAGGCCCTAGTGGTCCATAAGCTGACCTGGCGTGGTCAAGTGCTCTCCACCAGCTCCCTGCCCCCGGTGAGGCTAGGGCGGGACTTCCCTCAGCAAGGTGGCCCGGAGCAGAGGCAAGAGCTCCCAGGTCTGAATTCAAATCCAGCTCTGCTGCACCCCAGCGGGGTCACTCTGGGGAAGCTACACCACCCTCTGAGCTCCTATTTCTGAATCTGCAAAGTGGGCTGTTGTGAGGATTAAATGAGAACGTGTGAGAGGCGCCCAAGAAGAGCCCAGCACAGAGGGGTTGTTCAGTGAACAGCTGCCTCTTCTGTCATCATCGGCACACAGGGTTTCCCTTCAGGGGCTGGAGAAGGGACAAGGTGGGGGGGATGACCAGGATCCTGTGAACTTCAGGGCAGATTGCCTGTGCCCACAGCAGACACCCAGGTGGCCTAAGGGAGTGTGGGACTACCTCTGTGCTTTGGGGGACTCCACAAGACTTCAAAGTCTGACTCTAAGGCTCAGCTGGGGTCCACTACCCCCCAGCCCACCACAGCGGGTACAGAGTGCCTGATGTGCTGGGCTGGCAACCCTCCCTCCATCCAGGCCCCTTCTGTGCACACAGTCCAGGGGCCACAGGCCGAAGAATGTCCAGGCTCAGAGAGCTCTGGGTACCAGGGAGTCCAGAGAAGACAAAGGCCCCCTCAGAGGTCACACTGCATCGCGGGGCAGAGTCCGCCTCTTCCTGCTCAGGCTGCTGATGCTGCAGGAAAAACTAGGAAGTGCTGAAGGTTTCACCCCACTCGCTTCTCTTGGCCCCAGTGCTCCAAAATCATGTCCCTTTCCCCCTCGCCACCCCCACCCCGTCCCTTTCCATTAGCTCAGCATTGTGACCCTCAGCGGCCGAGAGATGCCCTCGCTGCAGATGTGCATGACAGCGACATTCCGTGCACTGCCTTCCCGGGGTATTTGCATCTTAAAAAAGCAGCTGGCTGGGCAGGCGGCCTGGAGCAGTGCAGTCAGGTCTGGGCTCAGGTGCCCAGCTCTCTCTGAACCTCAGTTTTCTCCTCTGTAAAATGCGCGTGATTGCGTTCACCTCACAGGGCCGCCTGTTGTGATCATTAAAGGAGCTCCTGGCTGGGAAGCCTGCTGGTTGTTGGTCCCAGCAGCACCGTGGTGGCACGTCCTAGTAGCGGAATTTCAGGCACTGAGGCAGGCGGGAGAGAGATTTCTGGACAGACATGAATGTGTTCGTTCAACAAATCTTTATTGAGCACTTCCGTTTTGGAGACATGGGTGGGGTGAACGGTGCATCCCCTGGTGCCTTTCAGGGTTCCTTTAAATTGTGGCTCCACCACTCATTATTGGTGTGACCTTCAGCAAGTCACTTGGCCTCTCGGTGACTCAGTTTCCTCATCTGTAGGATTGTTGTTGCTAGGTGCCAGTGGATCAGCTCCAACTCACAGCAACCCCATGTACAACAGAGCGGAACACTGCCCGGTCCTGTGCCGTCCTCACAATTGTTGCTGTTTGAGCCCGTTGTTGCAGCCACTGTGGCAATCCATCTCCTTGAGGGTCTTCCTCTTTATCGCTGCCCCTCTACTTTAACAAGTATGATGTCTTTCTCCAGCGATTGGTCCCTCCCGATGACATGTCCAACATAAGCAAGATGAAAGTTCACCATCTTCCCTTCTACGGAGCATTCTGGCCGTGATTCCTCCAAGACAGATTTGTTCATTCTTCTGGCAGTCCATGGTATACTCATATTCTTCGTCAGCACCACAATTCAAATGTGTCAATTCTTCTTCGGTCTTCCTTTTTCATTGTCCAGCTTTCCCATGCATATAGGTCCTTGCCTGGCACGTAGTAACATTGCTGAACCCATTCTGACTCATAGTGACCCTATAGGACAAAGTAGAACGGCCCCATAGGGTTTCCAAGGCTGTAAATCTTTACGGTTCTTTTTGATGATGAAAGAACCTTCCCTGGAGAAGGAGATCGTGCTTGGTAAAGTAGAGGGTCAGCGAAAAAGAGGAAGACCCTCATCGAGATGGACTGACACAGTGGCTGCAACGATGGGCTCAAACACACCAACAATTGTGAGGATGGCGCAGGACCAGGCAGTGTTGCGTTCTCTTGTGGGTGGGATCGCTATCAGTCAGAACCAGCTCGACGGCACCTAACAACAACAACAATCTTTACAGAGGCAGACTGCCACGTCTTTCTCCCACGGAGCAGCTGGTGGATTCGAACCACCGACTTTTCGGTTAGCGGCCGCGTGCTTAACCACTGCGCCACCAGGGCTCCTAGCACATAATAAGTGCTCAGTAATTGTTAGCTATTCACTTGATTTCACCACTGGGCACCCCGAGGCCTCACCTAGGCCTGGGACCAGGCGGACCCACTGTCATGGATTGAATTGTGTCCCCCAAAAAATGTGTGTAGCAACTTGGCTGGGTCATGAGTCCCAGTATTGTATGATTGTGTTATCTGATGTGATGTCCTTACGTGTTGTAAACTCTACCACTATGATGAGATTACATGTGATCTCCTCATGTGTTATAAATTCTATCACTGTGATGAGTTTATACTGATGAGGTTGACAAGATTAGTGTCTTAATGCAATCTCTTTTGAGATACAAAAGAGAGAAGCAAGCAGAGATATATGGGAACTTCATACTACCAAGAAAGCAGTGCTGGGTTCGGAGCGCGTCCTTTGGACCTGAGGTTCCTGCGCAGAGAAGCTCCCAGACCAAAGGAAGATTGATGACACAGATCTTCCTCCAGAGCCAACAGAGAGGGCGTTCCCCTGGGGCTGATGCCCTGAATTTGGACTTGTAGCCTACTGGACTGTGAGAGAATAAATATCTCTTTGTAAAGCCATCCACTTGTGGTATTTCTGTTGGAGCAGCACTAGATGACTGAGACACCCACAGACTGGAGCTCACATGGCAGGTATCCCATCTGCCAGGTTTGTCCTCTACATCTCACTGCTCCCTCCTGGCCCACGGGCTCTTTCGTCCTCCCCCTGCTCCCTTGTTGGAGAGCACACTCCCTGAGGGCAGGGTCTGGACTCCGCCCCCTTGTGGCATTCTGTAGGCTCCTCTTTCTTCTCCCTGGCAGGGATCCCAAAGCCTTTCAACATGGCAGGCAGATCAAGCAATGAAACCTCAGTGCCAGCTGCCTGCCCTCAGCTCTGGTCCACACTCCAAACCCTGCCCCTTGGGGAATGGGTCAGCCCCACCTCCAAGGTCCCTGAGGGGAATCACACCCATAATGGGTAATTGCTGTGCAGGAGAGAGCACCAGCGGCAGCCAGAAGAAATGGTGCCCTGCAGGGTTTTGCAGGATGAAGAGGAGTTTGCCTGATGGTCCATGGAAGAGGGCTTCATGTTGGAGGAAACGTATGCACCCAAGCCCAGAGTGCATGAAGGGAGAAGGGCTCACCTCCAAGACATTTCACAGCCCCACTTCACCTCCAACACACCCCATGGGGCAGGGTTCCTGTTGCCCTCTGGGTAACTCACCCTTCTTCCAGGTGAGAGCAAGCCCTCTCCCTCCAGCATAAGGACCAGATAGCGTTCTGAGAGCTGTGAACGTGAACATTTTTCAATTCTGCATTCAAGGCTGCTGTTCATTCATTTATTCAACATAGATTAATTAGGCACCTGCTATGTGCCGGGTCTTGTTCTAGGTGCTCAGTATAGAGTAGGGAACAAGGCAAAGTCCCTGTCCTCGCTGACGGCCTATGTATTGAGAGAGACAAAAAGCAAATACACAAACAATCACATAATGTACCTTCATAATGTAAGGTCTAGAGAGTGACCAGTTGAGGAGGGTGGCCAGAGAGGGTCCTCAGAGGAGATGACATTTGAACAGAGACCTGGAGGAAGTGAGGGATGGAACTTTTTAAGATCTGGGAGAAGAGCTTCCAGATGGAGGGAACAGAATGTGCCAAGGCCCTGGGGTGGGAATGAGGTTGGTGTGTTCCAGGGACAGGAGGGTTGGTGTCACTGGGCCACATGCAGGAAGGGGCAGCAGTAGGTGATGAGGGTGGTGGGCAGGGATGTGATGGGCCGGCGCAAGGGGGCTGTGGATTTTAGTTCAAGTGTGGCGATGAGGAGCCAAAGCAGGGTTTAGAGTAGGGGAGTGATGGGAGCTGGTTGGGCTTTACACAGACCCTCTGGCTGTCACCTGGGGGCACGGTGGAGAGTGAGCCTGTTCCGTGTTCCCTCTTCTAAGCCGCCCACACTCCTGTCCCCAGGATTTATGGAGCAGTGGGAAAGTGAGGACTTTGGAGCCAAACAGATGGGGACTGGATGCGGACGGGGTCATACTGGCAAGCACCCACCCCCCTGAGCCTGTTCCCTCAACAGGTGGGGGCGGGGAATGAGATTGGGGCTTGAGCCCCAGCCACGGGAGGACCCACAGTAGGGGCTTCGTGCAGCCCCAGGCCAGGTCCTTTGACTTCTTCCCTCCCCTACTCTTTCTGGAAAGGG